TACCTATTTAGTTTATATAAAAATCCAACAGGTTGTTGATCATGCAGTCATCAACCGTTTTGAGTAAAATGTAGGGACGATTAAAGATCATTTGTCATGTATTTGGAAACGCTAGTTCACCGTTTTACGACAGTCAATCTACCTACAACGATTCGTAAGACTACTCAACAGTCAACTGAGCTGGCCAGCTGTAGCGATTTGAGTGCCAAGAGTCACGCTAATTTCAATCTCATACAACCATTGCGATGAAGGCTTACCCGGGTCGCTTCGCCTCGACGGACCCGTGGTCCTACAGAATCACCGACCAGCGCCAAGGGACGACCGACTGACTTTTATGATTTGGTAAACTAAGTGAGGAAGAACTTGCATTTCCTTATGAACTATTTTAAACAAAAAATCGCAATTTATTATGACCAGAACTGTGATAGAATTGAGTTAAGGATTATATTGAAAAAACACAACTAAAAATACAAGAAAGTGAATTAAATGAGTATGGTCAAATAACAATGCCATTCATGTATGGATGGTATATTTTCAAAGGGATTGTTAACAGCTAGTTATATTGTAGAATCTAATGAAAAATTTATTTGAGAATGAAACATGAAATTTCAGAATGCAGGCCTGTCATACATGTTAAAAGAAAGAAATTAGTCTGAGTAGTATCAGTATTTGTTGATTTCATAAGTATTCGATTTTCAAAATAATATAATTTCGTAATATAATGTATTTTAAATGAGTTACTGTAATATTTTTGACACTTTTGTGTTCATATTGTTTAGATCGAATAGAAAACGTACTAGAACGTTAAAGAAGAATGCTTATACAATATATGTTTTACTTTGTTTTATCAAGTTCAACGAAGAAAACTGTATTCCTATCAGTAAAGGTACGAATCGAGTTCTACCCGCGTTTCTTATTGCAACCCAGCGAGAAGCGTAATTGGAATCCCAACTTGAGTTTTGCCGAGCGTACGATGTGTCGTCAGGTTAAAAATATTCAAAGGGGCGGGGTTAAGAGAGCTTCATTTTCTGGCTGACTCGATATGAAACTCATCTACGGAAATTGTGTTAGGAGAAAGAGAGAGAGCAAGCGACGGGAGAGGCGCTTCAGGCAGAGCACGATTGCTACTCGAGGGGGTGGGAAGGTATAGGTTGGGGTAGGGGGATGAGCTCCCTGTCGATTTGCTTAAGCGACTTTAGCTGGTATCTTGAGAACAGTCATAATTTTGTGAAATACACTTCATGTACCCCCAAGTAAAACGATTCCTATGGACTTAAGACAAGGAATACAATTTGTGATCCATTGCGTATTTCGGGGTTATGCGTCATATCATTGACATCTCTTATTGTAAATCATTTAAATGGCAGAGATGAATCTATATGAAAAGTGCTATTGTAAATAGTTTATGCAAGAACAACAATCTCAAGAAATAAAGAATTAAAACTGTTCCATAATTTAATTTTTCGATATTCTAACAAAAATATCGTATCTTAAAAGTCGTGTTTAGAGGGTACACAGGCTTGAGGAAGCGTGAATTATCGCTACCCGGAGTGTGGGAATGACGAAACATTAGGCTATTTCATAGATTTCAATGCGGTCGGATAATAAGCTAGTAGTCGGTCCGAGCGAGCGAGCGGCCACAAAAATCCGCGGTCGTGCTCAAACGTTCATTAGGAAATGCTACCTAGCCCCTTCATCTAGACAGGTACGGAGGGGGGAAGGCGTGACCGGCTACTCGAAATAAAACACCATTGAAATCATGATGGCTGCCTCAGAGTCGTGCAGTACCGCAATACCGCACCCGACCCTTGTACACGGTACCCCGTGGTTACTGGTAACCCAACACATAACACCAGGGCAAGGGACTACTCGGTACCCTGGGTGTATACTGTGTAGTACTGCACACCCGTCTCTAGCACTCGGTACCCTGTGGTTACTGGTAACCCAAAACATAACACCAGGGCAAGGGACTACTCGGTACCCTGGGTATATACTGTGTAGTACTGCACACTCGTCTCTAGCACTCGGTACCCCGTGGTTACTGGTAACCCAAAACATAACACCAGGGCAAGGGACTACTCGGTACCCTGGGTATATACTGTGTAGTACTGCACACTCGTCTCTAGCACTCGGTACCCCGTGGTTACTGGTAACCCAAAACATAACACCAGGGCAAGGGACTACTCGGTACCCTGGGTATATACTGTGTAGTACTGCACACTCGTCTCTAGCACTCGGTACCCCGTGGTTACTGGTAACCCAAAACATAACACCAGGGCAAGGGACTACTCGGTACCCTGGGTATATACTGTGTAGTACTGCACATCCGTCTCTAGCACTCGGTACCCCGTGGTTACTGGTAACCCAAAACATAACACCAGGGCAAGGGACTACTCGGTACCCTGGGTCCTGGGTGTATACTGTGTAGTACTGCACACCCGTCTCTAGCACTCGGTACCCTGTGGTTACTGGTAACCCAACACATAACACCAGGGCAAGGGACTACTCGGTACCCTGGGTCCTGGGTGTATACTGTGTAGTACTACACACCCGTCTCTAGCACTCGGTACCCTGTGGTTACTAGTAACCCAACACATAACACCAGGGCAAGGGACTACTCGGTACCCTGGGTGTATACTGTGTACTACTGCACACCAGTCTCTAGCACTCGGTACCCTGTGGTTACTGGTAACCAAACACATAACACCAGGGCAAGGGACTACTCGGTACCCTGGGTGTATACTGTGTAGTAACACACCCATCTCTAACACTCGGTACCCTGTGGTTACTGGTAACCCAACACATAACACCAGGGCAAGGTGTGTAGTACTATACACCCGTCTCTAGCACTCGGTGCCCTGTGGTTGCTAGTAACAACCACATTATACCAGGGCAAGGGACTACTCAATACCCTGGATGTGTAGCACTAAACCCGACCTAGGACTTCGCGACACTAAACCAATGTTAGAGTACTATGTAGGCCTGTCAATCTCTATTCGACTGTTTAAAATGTCTTACAGTTTCAGGACCCTAGAAGAATAATACTAGAATTCAGTTTTGATTATATTGCATTGGCAAAGCAATACTTTATGAGCCCTTTAAGGTTTATGCGAGAAGGAAACAGTCGTGTGCCACCCAGTAGCAGCAGTGAATATAAACAACACCAACAAGTAACAACAACACTCCGTATTTATAACTCAGCACTTCTGTCGCTGTTGGAACAGTAATAACTCTGGCGTGACTTGCTTAAAAATATTGTTTTCTAGTAAATATTTCACAAACAATAAACAATTCTAGTGAGCTTTTATATGCATCGCCGGAACATGGCGACATTATTCAGCTTTTTTTATTTAGGTTTTTTTTCGAGCTATACGCATGCAGAAAATAGTTTATGGGCAGAGAAGTAAAATATGATTGAATTAAAAGCAAGTGAACACATTTACTATGGTGTTATGCATATAATATAAATGATTTAGAAATTAAGACATAGTATTCCTATAAGGATGAAAAACATTAATACTAAAAATATTTAATTTAAACACTCTTTTGGCGTAAAAACCTTCTCTGACCTTCACTTTATTTGAAAGAAATTTTAACTCTCTTTTTTAGGTTTCTGGAAGGGGATACTACATTTAGCTAAGACTTTGTATTGAAAATCATACTTCAGTTCTCACTAGTGTGCATTAATATATAAATCCGCTCAAGAGTCACGAAATGCAGGTACAAAAACCTCGGAGGGAATAGATTTAATTCAAGAAATAAAATCGTTTCAATACGTCTCCCCAAATAAAAACACCAACATGGTAAATTTCCCTCCACCATGTGATAAAGTGTCAGCACTAGCAAGAAAATGTATTTAGCCTTAATCGTCTACAATATATTATGAGGCAAAGACTTCATAGAATATCATCCACTAAAAAGCTCTAAGACAAATAAAAAATGAAAGCGTCTTGACTTGTAAAGAATGATGCACGGTGTCTGCGGTGTCTTTGATCGGTCACCAGAGAGATACGACAGCTACCATAGAGAGGATAACACCGCGTGAAGACAACGGTGAGGATAAAATAGAGTGTGAGAATGGGATAATAGAGGAGAGCACAATAGAGGTGGCTCCGTGGCGCCTGAAGACTGTCTGTGACTTGTCCTGAAAGTCCTTCGATGATTCCACGACACCCCAAAATGTGGATATTGACTCCAATATCGTAAGAAAACAGCCTCGAGAATTTCGTAATATTATTATTTTATACTATGTTCAATTACGAAGAATTGATACATAGATAGGTTCTTTGATATGTAAATCCTGATCTCAGAATCTCAAAAGAAACAGCCTCGACAGATTCGCAATACTGCTAGCTTCTATTATCTCCAATTATGATCACGTAACCATCGAGTAGTGTTTCAGAAAACATCGGTTGTACCCTCTTTCTCAAGTGTATTTCTAAAATTAGGAGTGCGCTTTTGCGTGATTGATACAAACATAGTTGGTCCAACGTCAAAAACACATTGAAGTCTGTTCGAAGGTATAGAGAAGATGCCCACCACAGATTACTAGATGTAGAGTTTATAACCAAATTTATTATTTCTTTATATAAAACTCCCTTCCCTAAAATTACAAGGAGTAAAACACAAAATTGATTCTGTACAGCTTGACCAAACTGATTGGGGACGATGATAAAACAATTTTGCATGTACTATCATCTAACGTGTAATATTTTGCACAATTCCAAGCTATCTTTTTTATAACAGAGGGCCAGGCTTATAAGTAGACCATGGGATTGCATCGCAGCTGGAACAGCTTATTGTTCACAAGTTATCTTGGTAATCGTCACTTTAAGATAACCACAACCCGAACCTGAGAGATATGTGAATGCGATAAGTCACAAATAGCGTCACCCCATTTCGATAAAAACTTTCCATTCCTCGGTGATATTTTTTGCACCTTTGAAAGATACTTTTCATTATTCTTGTCATATTTCTACAGTTAGTGACTGACGTCTCACCATGTTTTCCTGTGATGTAGTCCTCTTTGCAGATGAACTTGTTGTCGTCCAAGACATAGAGTTCTTCGCCAGTTGACAGCTGTTTCCGACACACCATGCACGTGAAACAGTTGAGATGGAACACTTTGTCGCGAGCCTTCCGCACCAAATCACTGGGTGAGATTCCTTGCGAACAGCCGTTGCACTTGGTGCCATATCGCCTGCAAACAAACACAAAATCAAACTTCAAATTTGAGATAATCTTTGAAAGTAGTTCCAAAACTAATGCGTGGAAAATGAAAGTTCAGCAAAAGTTTAGACCATTTATAGAATTAGACAAATCATTCCCAAGATAAATCAGTGGTCAGTTAAAAAAAAAATTGACAAACTTGAAGTGAGCCACCGACGGTGTGAGCTGTTATCTTTCACTGATTTTCGGAGGACACGCAAACTTTTTAACCAAGTCAAATCAAATAGCGTAGTACCAAAAAGGAGTTTTGTCAGCAGTGCAGCTTACAGCAGGTCCATATAGATAGAATGTTAATAGTATCTAAAAGCCAATGGCAACCAATTAACCAATCTCAGTTACTTGGACAAGATCAACTAATATTATAACTTATGTCCTCATCACTCTTCGTAGTACTTAGAAAAAATGGTCTAAAAGACTTTTATCTGGTTTTGGCCAGTAATGGGTAATTTTCCAACTATTTAGGACCTAAACACATTTAATCAATTTTAGTCTTTAAAATATATTTCAGTGCAGTACCTACATAAAAGATTTTTCGCAGAAAATTGCATCTCAATTGCAAAAGAAAAGCGAATAAATGTATCAATACATAGCTCTACTCATTGAGTACTGTACTCAAACGCCAACAGCTCGATTTATGTACCCAACTCGTATATTTAATATCGAGGAATGTAATTTAACACAGATAGCATGAAAAAACTATAGATAATATAGATAAGAATATTAAATATTAGCATAAGAATTACATGGTGAATTTTTCTTTGGCATTAACAAATCGTCAACAAAACATCCAACAAAGAATGTGCTAATCGACCAACGACATTTATGGTGGTGACTTCATGCAGTATTTCCGTCATTGCACTTGAAGATTTACTGTTTATTTTACAGTACCCCAATGTCACAGTGCGATCCGGGACACATGCGGTGTTCCGAGAAATTTGACCGACTCGAATATTATTTATGAACGAATCGGCGATCTCGAGGAGCGCAGTCAACATATTGTTAACTTGTCATTTACAGCCTTGTAAATCCAGAAGTACTTTCGAGTCATCCTCGTATCAGAACCTTACTTACTCCTCGGGTTGTTTATGGATTAGCGAAGTGTCGGGTTCAAAATATATTGTATATCCTTACACTTGAAGATTAATGATATTTCTAAGTAGACTCGGCCAAAGCGGGATAAAAATGTCTACTTAATAGTATACTTTCAGATATTGTTAAGGTACCAAGATGTAAATTTTAGCGAATTTCCCATAAAGGGAATAAGCTATTACCGTAGGTCTCATGGTAACACGTGGACCCAGGACCAGTTTACTTTTTCGTTTTAATGCCCCAGAGGCCAAAAACACCATCCGTTCAAAATGTATAAATAATACAGGGTGTTCATGAAGGGGTGTCACAGACGTCAGGGGCTGATAGTTATAATCAATCCAAACAAAAAAGTTCATATAAACATAAAGTCAAAAAAATCGATTAGCCGCGAGCCACCATTTTGTATTTTTTACAAAATAATTTATATCTCAAGAAAATTTCAAGCTACGGAAACCAAACTTTGCACATACATTTATTGTATCAAGAGGCATTAAAAAAATAATTGTGTATTTTTTTTAATTAATAAAATGACGACCATTTAAAAATTTAAACTTAAATTACTAAAATATGGCTGATTTTATGAAAAATGTCGAGAATACTTTTATTTAGAATATTAAATTTTCTTTCACACAGCACCAATTTCTAAAAATATTGAATAAAAAATAACATAAATATCTTAAATTTTAGTTGTAAAATGAGGCAAACCTGAATAGCTTAGCCTTATTTATACCCCATACTATACTTATTTTAGGAGGGAGAAACTAAGTATCACATAAACTGGTGATTGCTATTGTTTTCTCACAACTCAGAGTGATAACTCGAAAATTCACCTACAGGTATAATGACATTGCTTTCTCATATTGATCAAACATTCGCTCCATAAAATTAGAAAGTATCCATAATTTTGTATGATACGAGATGTGAATTTGACTGAGTTGTAGCAAGTTATTTTTTATTTGTACGTATAGGATAACTAACAATTATTTAAATACCATACTGGAACTGATAAAAGATAACTGTTTCAAAGAAATGGCAAATACTGTCAAACTATTAACGTGTCATCACAATCGTTTCTGTGGTGTTTCTATCAACACCAATCGTTTCAATATTTTATAGAGTATTTTATTATGCCACCTGATAACATGTGTAAAGTATTGGACATCCAAACTAATCTAGAAAAGGAGTACATTTTTGGTTTAGTCTCGTTGGTCCTAATCTCTGTTGGTGACTATAGTTTTACTATATTTTATGCATGGTTTAAGCTATGTTTTTGCTAAGTATGTGCTAACAACTGTCTTCAGCGAGTGGTAATGGTATAGGCCGGATTGCACGGACGAGGTTTATTTTATGATAGAGTATATAGCCCTGGCGTAGGCGCTGCAGAGATCGCCGACCAGAGGTTCTCGCCCAGCGTGAGGCCCGATAATAGGCATAAGGCTGCCACTTAATGCCCTCTCGGACAGTCCCGTTTCTTTGTGCTTCTCCGACCTCCGCCCTCTTGGCTTTTTGTCATTCACCGTTTTCCGAAGACCGTTCCGTTTCGCCGTCATTTGTTTTCGCATTTTTTGCAACTGATGACGAAGTTTGCCGCCGCTCCGCTCGCGTCGCTGTCTACTCAACCGCACTAACTCTTTACTAAAGTATACCGACGAAAAAATAAATGGTCCGATAGAAATTGTGATTATTGAAATTGACTTATTTCAAAGCAATCGAAAACGAAGCATCAATTGAACTATTTTCACGCCGAATAGATTTCCCCACTATATATATGGTTGAATATAATGATTAGGATAATTTTGATTAAGATGATTCCACTGTTTGTGAGGAGATCGGATTTCTGGTTGGACAGAGTTGCCAACCCAAAAGATTAAGGTAGGCTTCTGACACCCCAGCTTCCTATTTAAAACAGATTTCGGTGGTCTGTAATGATCTAGGAGGGATTATGTTGGACAAATCCACCGTACCCTCTCCATATCTCCTTCTGTTGTGGTCAGGGATGGTAAATTAGAAAAGAGTAAAGTTACAATAAACTAACGGTATCGACAGATAAACTATAAATACAACTTCCAAACATTTTAATTATTAAATGTAAAAAGAATTATTGTTACATGATTTCGTTGGTTTAAGTAACTGTTTTAACACAGTTAACACGTTTACTGTACTTGTTTGTATTTATATTTTTGAAACGTTCTTTTGGTGTATACGACGGATACAAAATATAAAGGTAAACCAACCATCAGGATACTAATAAAAAAAAAACTCATTGACATGTCTCTATATCGATAGTTACAAAAGACCAATGTGTTACTATGCAGCTTTTCTACTTCACGACCGTAGAAAGGGACTTTAACTTTACTTAACCATAGTTCTCCAGCATAATTGGCTACCTAAAATTCTTCTATTCACAAATACTGTCACCAAAAACATCGTTAACAAACAATAATAACAACAGACCGTAAACACTAGTGCCGACCCAACAATGGAACAGAGTCAGAAGCCAAAGCCGCTCGTTAAACCTAAATCGTTAACGAAATCTACGCAGGTGCACAAAAAGTGGGGTTAGATTTGCTTAGAGGGCAACACTTGACGGCCGCTGACTCGAAACGAAATATCAGTTTGAAAAGAGCAACAAAAGGGTTGCTGTCATGTCAACGGTCTGAACCACGCGCTGGTGGGTTCTGGGCATTGTGGACGCGGCATTGGCTTAACAAAAAGTGACCGCGGGCGTACATCCCACACACATCCCGGGACAGGCGTCATCCGAAATCTGACGTGCGCCGGGACAGCGGCCTCCGGGACTGGAACTGACGGTGTCGGGGAGAAGAATGTCCAGAGTCCACACATACACATTGAACACGGAATTTAAAATTTAGGCCTACTTCGAGTGTTAACTTTTAATTAACAATAGTTACAAGAGTTCATGCCTAAAATAAATTTTCGCGATCCACTTACACATTTATTTGAAAATCAGGTTGGACGAAGAGAAAAGAAACAAACCCGAGCAAACAAACATGCTGAACAAAAATATCAATACAAGAAGTAAAAACTGCATCGCTTATCGTAATGTATCACTCATGTTATGGTCATATAAAAAATATAAGGAATCAAGTCCGTTCACTCTGTGACAGTACTCTAGCCTATATATGAATGTTTCCAAGCCACCAAAAAAGCTTGTTATGTGCAGCGTAAATAGAAAAATAAACTCGGGGAGGGAAAGCTATCACAGGGATCACTCGGGATGGATGGAACGGCGCGTCACAGCGAGCGCGAGCATTTTCCGGCTCGCGCTGAAATTGGTTTTGGTAAAAATAGCTGTGGGGAGATGAAAACATTCCGTTGTAGATTGGAGAGGCGGTACATCCATCATGGAGGATGGATTGTCATGGCGAACAGTCATCCCGCTACAGTCGCGTCGACGTGCTGTCAACGTAGAAATAGAGGCACCCCCGCCCAAGCGTTGAATATATCTGTACTTGGAACATAGTGATTTTAACTTAGGCAGCGCACTCTAGTATTGGATGCTAAGCTTTGAATATACGTTGGAAATATAATCTGTACTTGGAACCATTATAATTTAAACCATTGGCACCGGAACCCTAGTATTACACTCTAAGCTCTCAATATAAGCTTGGACCTAGATGGGTACCATGTATTGTTAAAATTAATTGGAATTAAAATTATGGTAAAATAATTTAGGGACAATGCACTGGACTTTTATCAGTTACACAATCTCCTTTAGTGTGAACTCTTTAATCACATACAGACAGAGGCCCTTGTGATAATTTTGTATACCCATAATGTTCGTTAATTTGACTTTTGATTTAGACTTGGAAACATAGTTATTTAGTTACTTAAAACACAGAATGTACGTTTAAAGTTAAT